CCCCCCACTTCCATGTGTCATTGTAATATATCCCCCCACTTCCAGGTGTCATTGTAATATATCCCCCCCTCTAATGGAAGCATTTATTACCCACCTATTCCAATTTCTGGCGGGACTTCCTCCCCCTTACACGGCTCATCGCCCCTCACGAAAGGCTCTTCTGCTTCCACCTTAACTTCGACTTTGATGATATTCTCACCCTGGACAACACAAAGTTACACACGTTGTCAGAGATGAAGACATGTTCATGTACAGATGAGGTGGATACACAACATGGATAATTAGTCACCGAGGTTCAGCTGCTGATCATCTAAAGAATGACAACAGGAAACATTGGGGGGAATTTATCCAAACTGGAGCAGAGAGAATCTGCGCCCATGGCAACCAATCAGCATCTCTCTTCAGTTAAGATTTAAAAATGAGAGATAGAAGCTGATTGGTTGCTGTTCACAGCTGCTCAAGATTGTGTCTGTTCCGGTATTGATAAATTCCCCTCATTGTGTTGTCTTATGTGTAGGAAATGGGTGTAAAATGTCAAATTTGGGGCAGTTACTGCACCTATAGTAATAATTAGGGATGCACCGATACCAATACTAGTATCGGTATCAGTGCCTATGCCGAGTATTTGGCCGAGTACGATACTTTCGGTATCAGGAAGCCGGCTACATGCTCCCTCGTCACATGTGACGAGGGAGCATGGAGCCAGCTTCCCGGCCTATCAGGAAGCCAGGCAGCGTGTAATGACTCGCTGCCCGGCTTCCTTATTGGTCGGGAAGCTGGCCAGTCAGGAAGCCGGGCGCCGTGTAATGACACGGCGCCTAGCTCCTGATTGGTCAGAAAGCCGGCTCCATGCTCCCTCGTCACCTAGTGACAAGAAGCATGGAGACGGCTTCCCTGCTAATCGAGAAGCCGGGTGGCAAGTCTTTACATGCCGCCTGGCTTCCTTAATGGGACTTCCGGTATTGGTATTCCGTATCCGCGAGTACCGGAAAAAATATATTGGTACTTGAAACCCCAAAACCGTTATCGGTGCATCCCTAGTAATAATAGAGTGTGAAACCCCGGGGAGAAATGTATAGACTGGACACAAGGAGTCAGCACAGAACATGTGCAGAGTGTGATTAGTGAAGGCCAAAATACTATCAGCTCACAGCTTCTCTTTCACCGCCATCAGGAAACCCGCCCTGGGAAATGGCATGCCGCCATCGCTGCAATGCATGTAGACAGGAAGTGGCTACAAACAGGCTCTAGGAGATCAGCGACACTGAGAACTAACAAAGGGTATAAAATGTTCCATCTACCTGGTCATCCTGTGAGATCTGGGAATCGCCATGTGTAGAACTCCGGTCATACAGAGGACTAGGCCATCGCTCTGTGGTGTTTTGGTTGCAGAGCGTATCTGTAGGAAACACACAAAGAGTCCTTTCAGTGTAACGATAGAATGTTTTATAGGACTGATGATGGGGAACGTCAGGGACAAGTAGAGCTCTGCTGCAGTCTGAAGGCACCATTTCTTTGGTCAGTCACCCAATCACAGGTAGACAAACGTTCAGGCAGGGACCAAGCACCAAAACCTGGAGCCAAGGAGCAGCTGGATCTTCCATGACGTCCAAAAGATTGGACTTGGTATCCTCAGAGTACTGAAAACTATTATGAGATTGGAAAGAGTGCCTACTAATAACATCTACAAGGCCAAAATAGTCCTCCCGCAGCTCCAATAATGTAAAAACAAAATGAGGAAATGCTCATCAAAGTGGTCATCATGGTCATCAAAATGTTGAAGCAACATAACGCCAAACGCCTCAGGGGAACCTTCTGCTGATCAATGACTTCTATCTTCAGGGCTTGCCTTGGGTATCTCCTTGAGTCCCACCACCTAATGCTTGACCAAGAACACCTTTCTCTGCTTTCCAACAAACTCCATAAAACAGTCCCCACGAGACAGGTCCTATGAAGGTAGACCATGTATGACTTGACCAAGGTCCAACACCAAAGGGCCACCAAAAACCACAAGCTGGGAGGTTTCAATTGACAGCAATCATGGATGATTTAGGAGGCAATGGTGAGATGAAGAAGTAAGTTCTCCACCTAGAAATTGCATTGGCAATCAATTGGCAGTGTTTCATCAAGCATTACTACCGCATAACATCCCAAATTGGAGGCTCCTCAACAACATGGACTATGAGGCTGCCGACTCCTCATTTCTTTACATCATTCTTGAGAACTTCTAGAGGTGGAGTTGAAGCATCTGAAGGTGAAGTGTATGGAGGCAGCAGAAAAATGGGACATCATTAGATCTCTCAGGCCTGTCCTCTGTATTCCCGGGATTCCACACAGGAACATCAGGAGATCCCTCAGACCCGTCCTCTGTATTCCCGGAATTCCACACAGGAACATCAGGAGATCCCTCATGATGGTCCTGTGAGGAACAAAGGACTCATTTTCTGTGCACTTCACTTAGGTCATGTGCCCTCTTGCTACACTTGGAAAGAATTACTGGCATGTGGGGGCAAATGCAGGTTCCCACCATACAATGGACTATACAGGACTATTCTGCTTTTTACCTTCTTACACTCCACAGAGATAAGACAGCAGGAGGAGAAATGTACAGAACCAACCAGCCAATGATAATCTAATCTATAAATAATGTCTGAATGTATTGCTCACCCATGTCGATCTCTACAGGAACTTCTTCCTCTTTAATCCTCACGTGTCCTTCTTCCTCCTCCTCAGGTTTGACATCCCTCTGAGTGTCCCCGGGATCTGTGAATAAAGATGAGAGTGAAGCCCCCTGTACTGAGATGTATGAGAGACCCCAGAGAGAGTGTGTGTGGGGGGAGACTGGTCACGTCTCTTGGCTGGTAACACACAATGACATGATGTGAGGAGGAGAGCCGGAGTCTAATAGAGGCTGATGGCTCCTGACTCCCCCCACTAGACACATTCCGTCCCCCCATTACTGTCTACTGACAGAGGAGGGGGAGAAGAAGAGATTGTTGTAGGGACTGAACAAGGAGAATCTGGGACTCTTTTCTGGAATTAGTGTTTATTACTCACCTGTGCTGATCTCTGGAGGGATCTCCTCCTCCTTACATGGATCATTATCACTAACAGATGACTCTTCACCTTCAACTTTAGTATTAATCAGAGTTTCATTCTAACAAACACAAAAGATACGGAAATTACATATATTAGCCAAGAACCACTATGTGTTGGTATAAGGGTTACAGTAAAGCATTTAGTTCTATCTACCTGATCCTCCTGAGGGATCTCCTGATGTTCCTGTGTGGAATCCCGGGAATACAGAGGACGGGTCTGAGGGATCTCCTGATGTTCCTGTGTGGAATCCCGGGAATACAGAGGACGGGCCTGAGGGATCTCCTGATGTTCCTGTGTGGAATCCCGGGAATACGGAGGACTGGGACATCTCTCTGGGGTATTTCTGTTCCTGGATCCATCTGTAGGAAACACACACACACTGACTGAATACAATATTATTATTATACAGGATTTATATAGAGCCAACAATTTGCTCAGCGCTTTACAAAATGGAGGAGACAGCACAGCAGTTACAATACAGTTTCAGTACAATAGGGTTAGGAGGATCCTGCTCGTGAGAGCTTACAATCTAGTAGGAGGGGCAAGTGATACAAAAGGTAATAATTGTTTGGATCGAGTTATTGGAGGAAGTAAAAGGCAGTTATGTTGAGTTGGGATCGGCTTCCCTGAAGAGATGAGTTTTTAGGGATCGCCTGAAGGTGGGCAGCTTAGGAGATAGGCGGACAGAATGGGGTAAGAGGGAGGGAGTTACAGTAGTCGAGGCGACAGATTACAAGGGAGTGAATTAGAAGCTTTGTGGTTTCGTTTGTTAATAATGGGCGTATTTTGGAAATGTTTTGGAGGTTGAGTCGGCAAGATTTGGATAGTAATTGGATGTGGAGCTGAAAGGAAAGCTCAGAGTCAAGCATTACACCGAGTACCCTGGCTTGATGGGAGGGGTTGATCGTAGTGCTGTTGATTGTGATGAAGAAGTCAGGGGAGGGAACACGGAGAGGAGGAAAAATGATAACCCCAATTTTTGAAGATTGAGTTTGAGGTAGGGGTGTGACATCCATGCTGAGATGTCACTGAGTAGAGAAGAGACATAGGTGAGCTGAGGAGTGGAGAGATAGATTCGGGTGTCATCGGCATAAAGATGGTATTGGAAGCCATGGGATGCTATCAATTGACCCAGGGAAGAAGTGTAGATAGAGAATAGAAGGGGCCCAAGGACAGACCCTTGGGGGACCCCTACAGAAAGAGGAGAGCAGGAGGTAGAATTGTAGGTGAGCCAGAAGGTGCGCTGAGATAGGTAGGAGATGAACCGTGAGAAAGCAGAGTCTCTATGTCTTTATATCAGAAGATGTGTGTATCTAGGGGGATCCTCAATACTCAAGAAGTGAAAGTCTCCTCTTACCCGGTGATGTGAGGGGCGGCCGGTTCTCCATCATGACGTCCTTGTAGAGATCCCGGTGTCCTTCTAGATACTCCCACTGCTTGGTAAGTCTAAGCCGATCCTTGGAATAAGTAGATTCAATCCTTTAAATAAAAACACTTTATTGCATAACAGTGAATAGTAGAACGCCGTCCATAGCCATTCTGAAGAAGAAGACCTGATGCACTTGGCATCTCTGTGCTGGTTCTGCCAGTACCCTATGCAGATGTTCTTCCGGCAGTAGAAAGATTTTAAGGAATTAAATATTGGCTGTAATGAGATCAATTCGAATAATGAAAGTGAATGCATTAGAACACATGCCTAAGTAGAGAAGGATCCACGAGGTCTCCTCTGCCCGATGACATAGTGTCTCTTTATGACAGCGTGGCACATATATGGGTCAGCACAGAGGTGGGCCTGAACGCCGAGCTGTTGCGTAGAAGCATTGCCGTTATGTTCTGGGCACGCTCAGTCGCCATCAAAGGTCATCAGCAGGTCACAGTCACCTACCAAAGATCAGGAGCTAGTAGGATCCTGGTGACATCATTAATATGCGGGTAATGAATGCCCCCCTCTACACCCACTTAAAGGGCCAACTCCCGCTGGTGGCAAGAGTTTGAAGATGCCACAACGGTTTTCTATTGTTTGATCTTAATTTTCATTCCTAACTGCAGAAGCCACTTTTTCCTAAGGACAGGCTTGTTGTGGCTTTCCTGGAGAATACACCCCCAATTGCCATCCTCCCCAGCGGAGCTCCCTATCTAACCTTCTACACAACAGAGGACTGGCAGGAAGATGAGGATTTGTGGAGGTGGCATGATCCCCCCATCCAGTCCACAAAGAGTGCTGGGACCCCCTTCTGTCATAATAAGAAGACATTATTACCTCCTCCCTGAGCACACACTCTCCAGACTCACAACCCACCAGCAAGACCCTGGCTAAAAATCTACTTCCTGTCCCCAGCTGCGGACTCCGTCAAAATGGCAGCCGTTGCTCAAGCTACAACTCCAAATCAGAACAGCCTCAAATTCTCTTTCAATAGTGTAACAAGTAACAAAACTTGATGTGTATCCAATATATTCATCACTAATCCTATTTTGATCATTTTATTTAGATATATAGAAGTATGTGTGCTACAACAAAATGGCCGCCACCCTCCTCCACTGAGGACACTTCCTCCCACACACGGCAGACGGTCACCCTCTAGTGGCGGCTCCACACTGTCACTGTAGGTCCTCTGAAAGATTGTCCTCTCGCTCCGCTGGATGTTTCCATGGCAACTAAGAAGCGGCTGGATGGTGCACACAGCGGAAGTGCAAGAGCCACGGGGCGGAAATATGAATAGGCAGGCGATGATAGAGAGGCGACAGGGTGATAGAGAGGAGGCTGGAAGCCTCTAGTGGTAGGAGGTGGTGTGTGCAGGCTGTGAGGTGTGGGTTCATTATGGTTTTCTTATCACTACCCCTCCCCCCCTAATATTGAGTAGGCCCCTCTTTTCCTGACCCGTCCAGGCATAGACACCTGGGAATAAACAGATAATCACCACTACAAATCCATCCAGGCTGACTACAGCCCCGGCTATCACTAAATGCTTAGTAGTCACATCACAAAAGGTGAAGGGCGCTACAACGTCAAGTCCTGGAAGGTGTGAGGTGATCGGCCTGCATGGATCGGACTTGTTCTTCCAGCACATCCCACAGATGATCGATTGGATTGAGATCTGGAGAATTTGGAGGCCAAGCCACCATCTCAGACTCATTGTTGTTCCTCAAACCATTCTTGAACCCTGTCTGCAGTGTGACAGGGCGCATTATCCTGCTGAAAGGGGGCACTGCCATCATGGAATACAGTTTCCATGAAGGGGCGTACTTGGTCAGTAACAATGTTTAGGTCGCTGGTACATGTCAGAGTCACATCCACATGAATAGCAGGACTCGAGGTTTCCCAGCAGAACATCACCCAAAGCATCACACTGCCTCCCCCTGGCTTGTCTTCTTGTCAGGTGCCATTGTAATATACCCCCCCGCCCTTCCAGGTGTCATTGTGATATCCCCCCCTTCCAGGTGCCATTGTAATATACCCCCCCTTCCAGGTGCCATTGTAATATACCCCCCC